CTAAAGCCTTGACGATATTTACGTATCAGGATTCAGGCAATATATCATAGTGAGTAACAAATTTATATATTTTTTTAATTAGAACTAAAATAGTGCATCAAATAAGACTAAAACAGAGTTATTTCTCAAAAATGGAATTGAATATTTTATTTTCTTTAATAAAAATAAATATATAGTACTAGTATTACATTTCTACTCCTAATATAATTGATTAATATGTAGCATAACTAATTGTCTATCAGTTCCCTTGCATAAACAAGGACAAAAGTTGGTGGCGGGGCAGTTCTGTGGTGGCGGTGGTGGCGACCGATAGAAAACTTTCGGCGATTGTCAATCTGGTGGTGGACTACTGCAACCCTATAAGGGTATTTTTCAATCATAAAAAATAAGTTCTTATTATGAGATTTTAAACATTAGAACTTATTTTTGGAAGATGGCAATGTTTTGGTCCTATTTGTGTAAATCTATAAATCTATATAGATAAAGTGCACAAGTAGAATCAACATTATTTTCTTTTTAAAATAAAACTCGTTCAATTCTAATTGACAAATTATATACTTAAAAGGAATATTTGAGTGTATGTACAACTTTAAATAGATAAAGTTTAATAAATCTCACAAATTTAGATAAATAAAATGTATAGCCTATTCGGTTAATATATATGAAAGGAAAAAGTTCTCCTAAAAATATGCTTTACATTTGATGTTATTGAAAATCATCTCCCTCCACATGTGTTCCTACGGTTGATAAAATGCTATACACTTAGATTATTAAAATATATATAAGTTATTAATTGCACTACTCCTAATTATATGTGTTATAGACCTATTTAACCCTACTTTAAATAGGATAAAAAAGATCCTATTTTAGGAATAAAACATAATTGGTCTAATTTATGGACTTTTATCATTTGTGGAGAGATATTACTAGAGTATGGTTGATATTATTGTGACCTTGAGTTTGATGAGCCGTCGTAATACTCTTTTCACTTTGGAGCCTTGGTATGGGTGGAACACAAAAGTAACGAACTTATTATAAGGCATAATATTTTTTAAACATTATCAATAGTATTGGACAATTAGACATTTTGCTGTACCACTCTATTAACCTTTTATTTTTAAAATACGTGATTTTTTCTGAATTTTCATAAAAAATCATAAACAAGAATATTTTGCATTAGTTATACGTTTGGGCCAACAGCCAACTATACGTGAATAAACTAACCAGGCTTTTATTAAATTTAATTTAATTTAATTTAATGGATGAACCAAACGTGAAAATTGTTTTTTATTAAATTAAAGAATATGACTACAAATGTAAACTATCAAAAGGAAATAGATACCGAACTTAAGTTATTCAAAACTTTAAAATTTTAATGAGTACTTTATTTCATATCATATTTTAAAATATGAGCATTGAGTCGTGGAAAGCCTTATGTAGCCCTAAATCTAAAGGTGGGTTGGGGTTCCGTTCGGTGAGAAAGTTTAATATTGCTATGTTGGGAAAACAAGCATGGCAGTTTACTATTGACCGGAGTTAAATCTTGTCACTTTCACAATTATTCCTTTCTGGACGTGAAGTTAAGAAGTAGTCACTCTTTCATCTAGTGAAGTATTCTTGAAGCCAAGCGTGTTATTCGGGAGGGGACGAGGAGGATAGTTGGTAATGGACAAGATATTTATGTTTGGAATGGCATGTGGCTTTCAGTGAAAGGTAATGGTTTTGTTTCTTTGAATAAACCAATCGGAGTTTGTGATATGAATGTAGCAACTTTAATTAAAGAGGACCGTTCAAGTTGGAAATTTGAAATTATTACAACCATTTTAATGATCGAGACATGTTGGCTATTTTGAGCATTACACTTAGTCGCATGGGGAAATTGTTGTTTTTGGGGAGACTTTAGCCAAAGAGTGTATATCGTTTTGAAGGGAGTTAGGGAGAGCCGATGCGATTATAGTGACGATGCTTAACGCTTCACATCGTTGAGATCACTGCTCAGTTCTTCTCACAAAGAATATGATACTAATGACATACTTCATATCAAAATGGTTATAGCACACAAACAATTGAACACTTTACTAAGTGAGTTGTTAAGGTAAGAGATGATGATATTAGAGTAGAGAATGATGGGTTTTTAGACCTGGAGGAGCGATTTTTTAAGATATAATATAAGTATATAACCATAGCATAACTATACTTGAAAGCACATATCCTACGTCATCGAAACATTCTAAAACATGCACCCGGGGCAACGCCCGAGTAAAACACTAGTTGGTTAATGAATTAGCTCATTTTCGGTTATAAATGCATACCTATACATTTTTTACTTGACAAAACTATTTTCATAAATAGAATTATAGAAACAATTTTGTGGATTACTTCAAAAAATGAATATCCATTGATATTCTTATACTTTTGAAGAATTACATGAGACTGTTTTGAAAGAAAAATTAAGTTGCGTTTTTTGTACGGAGTATATCTTATTAAAAATTAAATTGTTAGATGTTTATATCCTTATGGGAGTTAAGCATAGAGTTTAATTGTTTATTATAACATATTTCGCTAGTCAAACACTCAAACCCTCTATTATTAACAACATGCTAACATAATTCATTGTTGGGGTTTATTCCTTCAACCCTCAGGTCCAACACGTAAGCCCGAAGATTTCGAGTGGAGTGAGTGTATGAATATGTGAATATCTAGCCCAACAACTATCAGATGGATCAGGAAACAGAGGATATAGTAAGCAATGTAAATAGGTATTATTAACTTCGTAATAACTCTCTTAAGTACAATCTACTTGCTAAAAAAGGCACGTCGGCCGTTCGTCTCGCTAGGCAGTAATCTCAGCTGCGAGCAAGAGAAATAAGCTAGAATGCTAAGAATAGAAAGTTGTCAACCCTTTACAATGAATTAAATGCTTCTATTTATACCCACCAATGGGCAGGTGGCTATACTGACGTGGCAGCCTGTGGACCGCTGGTGCCCCAACTACCAAATCTTCAGCATTAAATGCACTTCCCGCCAAAATCTAGGTTTCCCGCCTAATCAGTGGGGACGTTCGTCCGCCCGGGAAGTGAGTTGGATCGCTCCAAGTGACCCTCAAGAGATACCGGCTGTTCGTCTCCTGGCCTTAATGGATACTCACCATGTGGACTGGGTTTCCTCCGATGACTATAGGCTTGCTCTGGAGACGTTCGTCGTCATCCCTGGAGGCCCGTGGTCCTGCTCCTTGTCCCTGCATAGACGTTCGTCGAGATGAACCGTTGGGCCTGAACCCCCAACCCCAGACGTTCGTCCCTCCTCAAGGAACATGGGCCTGCGGGCTAGCCTTGTGTTCTAACTGGACGTGCGTTTGGTAAGAAGGGGTTAATGGGCCGGACCTCGGCTTGGGCCCTTGACCCAACATTCATTATTCGCTAAAGATCAAACACACCCATTATCATATCCTCGTTTCCTCTATCCTGCAAGATTTCTAGGTGGAAGTCTTCAGATTACTTTAGTTTCATTTTCTAAAGATTTGTTGACCATCTCTTGATAATGAATATGAGTTTCTCCATAAATGCTGAAATGCATAGCCACTTTATTCAATGTTTAATTACTTTGTTACTCCTAAGTTATCGACCACGGTTCCAGCGTTTTTCTTCTTTTTGTTTAGGCTTCTCATCCCCCTAAAGTGGCATTGACGGCTTGATCACCACTTAAGTCTTAAACCATCACGACTTTTTGGGCTGGATAGAATGATACTCCATCTGTCCCGCTGAGATTGTCTCATTTTACCTTTTCAGGAAGTGTCACTAAAATTGTCTCATACCAAATTTGGTAAAGTTTTTGTGGCTCTAAACCATTCTTACTTTATTTTTACTTTATCAATTTAATATCAACCACACAAACTCATTTTTGTTAATAACCGTGTCACCTTCTCATGTCCCAATCTTAGTGGGACGGAGGTAGTAGATTGATACTACCTCCGTCCCGAAATGAAGTTCTCATTCATTATTCATTGGTCAACTTAAATCACTCCTAATCTTTTACTTTTTATATCAAATTTTTATCAAATTTAAATTTTTTTTTATCAAACTTTGTAGCGGTTTTAATATAGTTTCTGAATATGTAAATTTTATTTATTAAAAAAATCCAAGTGTGAACAGGGATCAAGTTGCTTTATCGTCAGTCAAGCATCGTAAACTGAATGAGAACTTCTTTACGGGACGGGGGAGTATTTGTGCTTTCATCGAAGATAATATGTTGAAGTGACGAACGCTTAATCATCTTTAGCATCCCATTATATAGAATTTATTTGATTGAAATTGGAAAGCAATTAACACTTCATTAGTTCATTTTTATCATTCTTTTATTTCGTTGTTGTTTTTTGCTTATTTTACTTGATTCTTTATGCTAGTTTTTTGTTTCTTTGTTTCACAGTTATAGGATTTCGCTTGATTAGAAGTCAATAAATACCAACAACCCTAGGCAATTAGTGATTCGTCATTTCGTCTTATTCAGTTATTCCGGTTAGAGTTATCATCTCTATGACTATAAGTCTATCATTAATTGCTGGGCATATGTGGGCATTTGTCTTGACTTTGTCTTTTTTAATTCACATATTCCTTATTTCCTCATTTAAATTTAGACAACTTTGTCATTTCTCATAAAGAAAAGTTCTACATTGAATAATTATTACTCTCCGGTCTTGATCCATAGTGAAAAATGGGTTGCTATAATTTTCAACGAAATAACGGCATTCCCTGCCATGAATTTTTAATAATTTAGCATGTCTAAGGCTCTAAGCTTCAGCACTTTTAGTTTCTCATTTAGTGCACAAAAGCCTGGGGTTGTGACATAATGCAACATGTGGGTTTTCCGGGCCATTCAAACTAATGGGAGCGGAAACGCATATATCACTCTCTCTCTCGAAGCTTCTGACACGAGGCTTCACAAGCAACTGGCTATTCTTTCAATACAAAAATACTAGTTCAGAGGGATACGAGAGTTGGATCTAAGCATAAGAATGTGACATCTATAATGTCAATTTGATCTTCACCCACGGGAATCAGTTAGCATCGTAATAAGCAACCCAAAACTCACATGCAACAAACATGCCACACTACAAAAGGCAAGGCCTTGGAAATTAAAACTACACACACATGCATAGACATGCAACACACTTGCACACCTATGCTGATGAAACGAGTATGCTTGGACTTCTCCGGTAACAAATACTATGAAAGATGTGTTGTTGATTTCTCCGGGTGAAACAAGTAGAGTACTAACTACTCTAACATTTTCTTGTTAAAAAATGACGGTACAACATTATTTCATTTTAAAGAATTATACATATGGACTACTACATTTGTGTTGTCTCAATGATAATAACATAATCAAAGGGGCCTGAAAGGGGAATAGCTCAGAATCCTATCTTGAGCAATCTAAATAGCAGGGATCCTCTGCCCACAAATTTTCATTCTGTTGTTGAACTTGATGGTACATTGTGCAACAACCAACCATGACGCAAGAACACGAGGTAATGGGAGGACTATAAATGTATGTAATGATCATAGTGAGAGACATTTTACCCCAGTTGGAAGATCATTAGTGACTGGAGCTGCTGTCACATATTTCTGTGGTAGAGCTTTATGAATAAGTGCAGCAGCTTCTGCCGGGGAACATGAGGCATTGGGTGTGGCCCGGGTGTGGAACTTTGCAAACCGGTTGATTATGGAGAACTTATCCAGATCTTGGCTGTCCACCGTCATATTTAACAGCGACTCACTGTTCTCCACCCTGAGAGCAGCAAAAAAAAATATCAAGAGAAAAAAAAGTGGGGGTATAATATACAGTAGCAACATCAGAAACACAAAAAAAAACATGTACAGTAATTGTCTCATTTTCAGTCGCAATAAATGGGAAAAAAATTAGATCATTACTTCGACAACTGATCTTCTAACTTCCTTTTTCTCACTGCACACTCTTTCAAAAAATTTGATAAAAGAAGATTACTATTGCCTTCTGGTGTTTCACAATCATGGGAGGACCTGCAGAAAAAATAAGAAATATTATCAGAAAAACATATATAACCCAACCAAGACATGATTTATAAAAAAATCTCATCATAAATCCAAGAAAATTACGGCTCTCTGTCACCACCATCAGCCTTAGCCATACTGGTATTATGCCCAATAAAGCTAGATACCAGTCCACATGCACTGCCTAATGTCATTCTAGAAACCATGTAGGCCACATTCTGGAACTCCAATTTGGAATCTGCTAAAAGAATCGATGATGGTGGAGGGTGAAACAATTGCTGCATAAGATGAGTGGTCAAGAGAAGCCTTCTTCTAGCTTTTTGCCCTGGTAACGTGTTCACTGGATGAATTTCTTCTACAACCTTTCATAAAAAAATTATAACTTTTAAAAACTCCAAACTGAGACAAACTCAATAATGCACACAGCTCAAATACTGACCTTTTCAGTGACCCGGTTTATTTCTTCTTCCCACCCTCCTAAAGCACTGTCTCTGCGAAAATGTTCAAGCATGTCATGTTGTATATCATGCCGGGTAATAAATTGTAGTACAAATTATGTGTTTAGGCACATACGAAACCCTCAAGTTGCATTGAAATAACAACCTGATACTCTTAAGACTCTGCAAGTCCCCAGAAACTTCTTTGTACCAAGGGATCAGATCCGCCTTAACACGCCTGCGCTTCTTAGGTCTTGGTGCTGAATGTTGCTGAGCAGACATCATGTTCATTAGAAAAGATTGTGATGAAGGAATGTTCTCAACAGGGGCAGGTGTAGGGCGCAAGCTTTCCACAACATTATTTTGTTGGATTCTATCCATATGATTAATTGCATGCAAACCATTGTAAGACTTCACAGTACTGAAAGGTGGTTCAGCAACTGGCACAGAAGCAGATTTCTGACCACTTTTACCAGTTCCATACTGATTATTTAACAAAGGCTGGTAAGGAAATTGAGTGTGCTCTTGTTCAACAGGTAAATCCTGCTGAGTAGGTACCGTTCCTTTTCTATCAGTCCTGTTTCTTTCCAAATTGTTATCTGAAGAATCTGCTGACTGGGGGGATGCATGAGAAAACTGTGGGCCATCCGACATTCTCATTCTTTTCAGCTTCATACTGCTCTGTTCAGTCTCAATGTTCCTCGTGGCCCGCATTTGATTCAGTAAAGAATAGTTATGATGTAAAAAATGATTTGGTTTCAGAGACTGACCAAAGGCTTCAATGTCTTTCTGCACTGATGCTGTTGAATTCATCACAGTAGATACATCCAGTGGCTTTGTTTCTTTTATTTCTCTCTGAACATCATTCAACAAATTCGCAGATTTTTTTGAACCGATATCGGACAAGAAATTTTGTCCTTTCTTCACGTCTTCATCCTCCCCCTGGCTGCCTTGAGCAGAGGATAACGATTCCACGATATTCAATTGATGTGAACCTGGAAGATGCAACAGCTCCTTATGAGACTGGATACCAGATGGATGTTGTTGGGCTTGAGAGTTGACTGGCATATTATTCTGTGCTCCCAAACAGGGCCTTTGATTGGAGATGCCAAAAATGGCTGTTTGAGGGGTTGAGACTCCTTCACTGGATGTAGCTAAGTTGGCACACTGACTGTTGCCAATCATATCACGTGAAAAAGTTTCTACCGATTGACCACGAGAAAGTTCAACATGACATCCATCTTTCTCAGTAAAATCTGGAGGATGTTTGATATAATTATTATTGGACTGGTTTGCAAGTGTTTGTCCAGGGGCCAACTGTTGATTTTCAAGCACACTTCTTGTATACATATAACCAGAATTAAGTAATGATGAAGAGGATTTTCCATGTATCTTATTAGGTGTGAATTCTTCTGCGCCACTCCCTGGGTCACCACATCTGGTATTAGTCAACTCTTCTTGGACTGTACTACGGGAATAAGGCAAAGATTGAACCTCCAATGGAGGAGGAGCCTGTGCTTGAGCTTTTTTACCGATCTCAATGGCAGATGAAGAATTAATGGATTGCATACAGCTCTGAGATGAAACTAAGTGACTTTTTGTTGGGACATATTGGGATGGAGGACCAAGCTGTAGACCATATCCTTGAGAAATTGATGAATGACTTCGCTGCAGGTGTGGAATAGACTTACCTGACATTTCAACTTCTTGCATTTCAGATGATCCCTTCTGACACATTGTGGCCCCAACTTCTCTGGATTGGTCCACCTTCTGTAGAAGCTGTAGCATGTTTGGACTGCAATAAAGGAACGCTTCTCAAATTTAACCAAATTACTACAAAAAAGTAACTTTACGAGGCGAACATTACCATAAGTTACAGAGTAAATAAAAGACATTTATATATACGTATGGAAAAAAAGTGTGGACTGCACTGATAGATTTAGAATAAAACAATCAAGACCATTTATTGTTCATTTTATATCTACCCGTGAAAACTGTGGTACTTGATTTTTAGTTATTAGTTCATACCCATAGTTCCTGCCTATTTAATAGGGCTGGCTCAACAAAAACTAGCCTTCATGCGAAAAATCCAAAGTCAGAGATGGTGCACTTCTAATACACTATTCGTAAGCATCAGGATGTGCACTCTTCAACTTAATGTGGTGAAAAGAGTTGCACTTGGTTACATATCAATCACCGCATTTATTTCATTACTTTTCCCCTGATTATTTGAACCCTTAGATCTACCATATAATGCACCATATTTCTTCTCACTTTTCACTTAAGGAACACTTTTTATTTGAATATGTGTCGATGGCTTCTATGCCAAATCTGCATGGTGTTAATTAAGCTTTAGCTGGTTGTACATTGCACTTTCCGGAACAATATACAATCAATCCACACAAACACAATTAGCTTTCAAGAGAAATAGGTCACTGAGATAGGTACCAATGATCATTACATTCAAAATAAAGCAGCATAAATGTTCCAGCATCCAATTAAACTGTGAAAGATATTAGAAAATGCTTCAGAATATTATCAGAATATACTTTAGGATATTACTATTGTATCGAATCTTATATAGGAATATTTTATTTGTAATGCATATTTATAGGGACTTAACCATCCAATGAAATACACAGAAAATCATTTCCTTCTCATTACTACTATTCTAACTTTAATTCTTGTAACATAAATAAACCAGATGAATAAGCAATGATAGATGGCATATTTTCATCAACATACAGGGATCATCTGATTTTCTCTACACAACAGATGAGGAATACAGTTACTAAATACCTAGATGGAGTTTCAACAATAGGTGAATGGATATCAGCAGATCTATTCAAATGGACGGGTATATTTGATCCAGAGTTAAGAAAGAAACTGTGAGGGTGTGCCTCAGCTGAGCCATTGCCATCTCTCTGACTGCTTGAGGATGATTGTCTCTGAAAATTTCATCCAGAAATACTATCAGAACAGAATTGGGAGTATACATTAGATGCATGACACTGTAAACACATATTACCTTTCCAACTTCGATAGAACTCTTCTGAACCTGCGCAGAAAACATTGACTGGCCAAGGCGGGAATTCTGCTGTGTCATAGCCTGTTTGTGGATATGTTTTGTCACTCCATGAGGATCTACATCTTCATTCAGGTTTGCCATAGGGTGGTACTGAAATTTTCGAGTAGGTTTTTCCTTTCCAGCAGGCCTTGAATCACTAACATCAGACAATGCATTTTCCCTTAAACTATCACCAGATGTGTGGTAGCTGTCATTGGAATTCTCCTGTTTGTCTCTGTAATCCACCTCGTGAGCTTTAAATTCACTTCCTTTACTCTTAATATCATTTGCATTCTTCCAATAATTAACTTGAGAACTGGTAGAAGGAAATTGACTTGATTCCCCCGTACTTCTCATAGAACCAAAATTCTCTAATTTCGCATGAGCATGAGCAGCAGATGCTAATCTACCAGGCTGCAAAGCACCACCATGAATAATTTCTTCCCTTTGAATTGAATCACCATCCAACCACTTCCTTCCTTCCTCAGACAGCCGAGAAGGTCTCTGAGATGAATTAGCTTGTACACCATGGCCAAGTCCAGTAGGAAGTTTATTATGACTGGGTTGCTCGAATCCGTGGAGATTGCCATAGTTGTTTTTGTTCACATTAGTGCACTCAGAAGGTCGAACTGGATCAGAATTCAATGATGGAGAAAGAGGCACTCTTCCTTCAGCAAAAGGATTTGGCTGTTTACCAACACTGTTACATGTTGAACTACTATGATTCCCTGAAGGAGGTTCACTAGATTTAGAATTCAAACATCTCCATCCTTCATGTGGTTGTACATCGGTGGTAGAAGTTTCTGCAACAGCAGACTGCATGAGAGCACTCCAAGTACCACCTCGATAGGAAGGAAGCTCATTGAATGGACCGGCACCACCAACTGAATTGCAGGCTTCCTCACTCAGATTGGTGCTCTTGCCAAAGGCAGCCCATATATTATCATCTGAGCCAAACAAAATTCTTTCTTCAGTAGGATCAAGAGCAACATCATTGTTTTGAGAGGCAGCTTGAATTGCTGTCCTTTCCATAGAAATTGGTTCCTGTCTCAATTCAAATTCCTGTGCATTTATATTTTGCTTTATATTCTCTTGCTGGGGGGTTTCCATATTCATTATATTATTTAAAGATTCTCCATGAGCACTTCCAAAGAAATTTTCACCTTGGCATTTCTGTTTAGGAGTGGGTACTCTGTCCGGAGTACCAAAATAATGATCACCTGGGAATGAATTATTATAGGAAGCTGTTTGGTGGATGTATGTCCTATCTGCCATCATCTGAGTATATTGGGTAACACCTGTTCTTGAAGTGGATACTGGAACTCCATAAAGAGATTGGTCGGGCCGTTCAGGAATTAAACCCATCGAGTTCTGACCTTGACCTTGACCGTGATTAGTAGAAACAAGACCATTAGAGGACGATCCCTGGAATGCTGGAGAACTCCGATGCAACCAGTTTACATTACCAGTTTCAGTTGCCCCCCATGGATAACTATGTTGTGCTGAATTTATAGCACCATTGACCAATGAAGAAGATGAATTGGCACTAGGTGACGCTTTAGAAAAGAGCGGGATGGGGTTCACATTACTCTGTTGCATTGCATCTTGTTGATGTCTCTGAAATTCTTGCATCCTCATCAGCATCATATGCTGTTGCATATCATTAAACCCCGGCTGAGGTTGTAACATGTTTGTTTGCTGATGGCGACTCAATTGGTGTTGACTTCCAAAAAGATCAAAACTGCCATGAGATTCAGAAGGTTCAGACCTAACTGGTGCATGAGTCTGATGTTCACGGCCCAAACTTTGTGACTCGTAGAGAGTTGTTCCACCTAATGAGGGTACATTGGGCTGACTGGAACCAGAATTAGCACCAAGAAACCTTCCTTCGTCTTGCTGTGCCTGGTAAAAATGTCTATACATTGAGTCGTTAAAATTTTGCTGTTGAACCTGCAACTGACTCTTAGATATGTCGTGCCTTTGACTGGGTTGACCAAAGTTCATGCCATTTGGTCCGCTGAATAGATGACTGCCAGGTCCTCTCCCAGAATCTAATATTCAAACAAAAGAGATAAGAGTCTATCAACCAACTAGATTTAAGGGATAAAAGTCAGTGAGTGAGCCTGTCAACTACATACTCAGCTTTCAAATATATGTCGCTATAAAGCTTTAATCTTTACATATTAAGCAAACAATAAAGCTCTTTAAATTTAAGAAACCCTTATAAATGCATTACTGAACTATAAGTACTATGTAAGTATGGATAGTTATGCATGAGAAGGGAAACAGTGGAAAATGAACAATTAATGCTCTCTTGATATTCGAAAGCAACGCTTATTTGATAACAATTCCCCTTCTAGAGCAACACTTACTACAATAGAGGGAGTAATCATTAGAAATCTAGATTACTTGAACAGTTAAAAAGATACTTGCACACCAATTACCTGAGCAGTGAAGGAAATTTCCTGATGGATTAACAGAAAGGCCAGATAGTGCATAGAAACATATGCATCAATAAAAAGTGAAGGCGGACATTGTTTAACTTTACTTATTTTTTACTCGTTCTTCCGATTAGATTCCATACAATCAATAAAAAGCATGGCCAACACAAAGCCCAACATACGACCTCCAAAATTCCATGCAGCTTCACTAGAAAGTACTGCAATTCTAATTAAAAGGACCGAAATACCTGGCTGCTGCAAGTTGTAACTTTTTGGGTTGGAACCCAGTACACTAAGTGATCTATGGTTTCCAATAGAGACATGATCATTCGGAGCTGGCCAGTTCCCATCCAGCACCTGTGGCTGATTTTGCCCTTGAGAGAAGTTCTCTTGTGCAAAGAAGTTGTGGAGTCTATCTCCAAATTCGTTGCCAGGCATTGATGATATTTAAGTCCAAAATCTCCAGTCGGTAGTTATCAAACTCAGACCAGCTAAGTGATATGCCAATTATGTGAGAAGCTGTTTTTTTTGTAAATGCAGAGAACTCTGAATCCAAATGTTTGCATAATCACATCTGAAGTCCCAATTTTCTTGAACGACAAAACCCACACTTAGTTTCCTTGAATCAACTTTCTGCAAAAAATGCATCAAGATTGGTGAAATGGCTATGCTGGGATTGTTTTCATGATAAACACCCCTTCTACATTTAGAATCTGTCACTTTACCTTGTGGAACAACCGAACAAACATTTGTGCAATTGTGCAAGCTCGCTTATTTATACTAAAAAACAACTAAAATAGAAATTAACGCACAACTCACATGCACTCACAAGTAGTAATGGGTCATGTAACAGATGATAGTTTAGTACGCATATTTTTAAAATGACACTATCAGCTTAACCTTGGTTCGTATTCAAATCCTCCACTAACAATTACTAGAGACGTAATTACGTAAAGTAAATTAAGTCTTACATTAGTACATGAGCTCTAATATGGAAAACCTTACAGCAATAAACGGACCACCATGATACATCATGCTTATAGTGAGTAGAAACTAGAAACCTATTCACATTTATGAGTTAGTCGTCAAGACAAGCAGAGTAAGATATCAAAATATCAATAAGTTGCTCATAAACAAAAAAAGCAACAGACTTCTAGCTGGGGTAGTTTGCAATATTATTCATCTCAGGCTCAGTTTTACTAAACATTAAAACTCTAGATTCATCACAAGCCCTTGATAACTCACACATTTCTTGATATTTCAAATCATTAAATCTCATGGTGCTTTTTGAGCACACCATGATGTACATGACATGGCTATGTGTACTATGCTAACAATGGCAAAATAGTAATAAAATGATGTCAACATAAAGTAAAAAATATAAAAAGATGTAAGATTTCCTAGCAAATATGATTAGATTGAGATCCAAGCACCAGTTTGCCACCATACTGTGGCGGAAAATTTTGTTGTATCATCACAAGGGAATCATTGGAAACCTAGCTAGATATGTCATAGAGTGGCCAGTAACTAGACAAAACTTGCAGTAAATATTTCTTTCCCCGGGTTCTAGTATCATAGATTACAATTCCCAACTGGGGTATCCACTGATCTAAGATGAACATTTGCATACTAGTTTAATCGAGTTTATCTTCATTGTTATAAAGCATCAAAGTCGTGAAAAAGTGGTCTTGAAATGATGGGTAATTCATTTGAGGATAATTTTAAGAAAACGAGAATTATTTGATCACTAGCACAGTACAAGTAAGACAAACACGTTTAACTGGAAGCAAAAAACATTACTAGCGAATCTGACAAGAACCTAGTGATATGAGCCCAAGCAATGCCCACAATTAATTCAACCTTCTAGTGTCCTAAACCCCAATAAACTCCAGCAAAGAGCGTTTTATCCCGCAAAAGCAATCAACTTTCCAACAAATTCTAAGATTGTAAACGTGATTATTGCGTGGCATCGAAAATCACGAAATAAAATCACAGATTGACCCCATGGTCAATCGCAAACGGAGCGGAAAGCCACTAATCGTTGTATCACATCTATAAAATCCCTAGACCAGGCTTAAATTGGCAAGTAAATTACACAACAGATCATAACTCTGGCAGAGTCAGTGTTAGGGTTAGTGAGTGAAGAGATAAAGTGAAAATAATTAAAAGTGCTATACCTACCTAGCCAAGACGTCAAGCTGCTCATCAATGGAGCTGTCACCCGATCCTTCTGCTCTGCGAATTTAGGGTTTTGAAAGGGCGAGAAAAATTATGGGGGGAGCTTCCATGGGAAAGGGGCTATGTCTGCGACAGTGACAAAGACAGAGCAGAGAGAGACTTTTGCAGGGAGAAAGATACTCCGAGATCAAAATTAAATTAGTAAAATAATAAAATTAACGTGCAAATATAAATAAATTATTGCGAATTCTTCCTTCGGTTCGGTTGCCGAAGCTGAGGTTCGGGCCTCGATTTGATTGGTAAAATCCGGAACGATTGGTTATGCCACCAATCATAATTACCCACGTAGGATGTGAGCCAACAATACTTTTGCCTTATCTCTTTTTCTTTTTCTTTTTACACAAAGCAACAAATAACGAAAATGAAATTAATCGTCCGGATATAATTATTATCTAAAAAGTCTTTCTTTTTTTCTCTCCTTTTTAAAATTTCCCTCCAACAATGGTTAGAGTGCTCATACAAATGGTGGGAAGAAACTGGATTTTGCTTTACCATTTTCCATTGTCTTACCCGTCATTAGCTTTTCGATTTATCTTCTAAAGTTTGCATCCATCTAAAATAAATATCACAATGAGAATGTTGATGAAGACCTAAATTATGAGGTAAAGTGTTAAATAAGTTTTGTTATGGCATCACATATGCTTATATCAGTAATATCAATTTGTAAATAACAAATTAACTAAAAGTTAAATTAGTTTTATAGGACGCTGTGAAAAATTATGTCGTTCAATTCTCACTAGATATCATCATATCATTATGATGATTTGGAGTTGGTGAAAACGGATGAAATACAATGGATATATTAAGAAATGTAGTAAGCTAGTGTGAACTTGTTATTTGTTTCTGATTTGATTATTTGGATCTTTTTACGAAGATATTACAAACATCATTAAGATCGTTTCCCGCTTATATCACTGCTGACTAACATTGATCAGTATTACTTTTGACTAAAGGATGAGATTGAAGGGAAAACATGCATATTCAAAGTGTCTCAATGAAGTTTTCTTTTATGTTCGCGAAATATATTTTGACTTTTAAAATTGGGAATTACCCTAAATAAGACTAAACGAGATTGTGTATACCAAAATAGGACTATCATGTTTTTATTCCCTAAATAGGAGTAATTACTGTCATGTTTTGGCAATACCAGACTTTAAACATGAGAGTATTTTCCAAGTCTAGTAGTGATTATTCTTATTTAGAAAAATAAAAACATGACAGTTTCGTTTTGAAATTATGAAACGTGTTTACTCCTATTTCGGGAATTTTCCCTTTAAAATTTACATAATATCATAGTAAATTGAGGTAAACTTTAAGTTGTTCGAATAGACAAAGTAAACTAAAGTCCGAGCTTAAAATCAAGTTGTGATTAGAGCTTACAATTGTTCCTTTCAAAGTGTAAGTGAAGTGTTGGAAAACTATATGGTTTTACAAATTAAAGTAGGAAAAATTCACATCATTTTTTTGATACATCGGAAAGGAAATCACCAAATAAATAAATAAACAAATTAGAATCTAATAGTCTCTAATGCATGTGCATCTTCCCAAAGAGAGTGTTTCATCCAAACAGGAGCCTCTTGAAAATTTGACAAACCTTTTGACACTTCATGTGCTGCATTTGCCAAAATGTATGCACATTTATTCTCTTCTCGAAAAGTATGTTGTAATTTAAGGATAAAAGAATAAAAAACAAGAAGAAAAAAGATGAGGGGAAATAATAATAATAATAATAATAATAATAATAATAATAATAATAATAATAATAATAATAATAATAATAATAATAATAATAATAATAATAATAATAATAATAATAATAATAATAATAATAATAATAATAATAATAATAATAATAATAATAATAATAATAATAATAATAATAATAATAATAATAATAATAATAATAATAATAATAATAATAATAATAATAATAATAATAATAATAATAATAATAATAATAATAATAATAATAATAATAATAATAATAATAATAATAATAATAATAATAATAATAATAATAATAATAATAATAATAATAATAATAATAATAATAATAATAATAATAATAATAATAATAATAATAATAATAATAATAATAATAATAATAATAATAATAATAATAATAATAATAATAATAATAATAATAATAATAATAATAATAATAATAATAATAATAATAATAATAATAATAATAATAATAATAATAATAATAATAATAATAATAATAATAATAATAATAATAATAATAATAATAATAATAATAATAATAATAATAATAATAATAATAATAATAATAATAATAATAATAATAATAATAATAATAATAATAATAATAATAATAATAATAATAATAATAATAATAATAATAATAATAATAATAATAATAATAATAATAATAATAATAATAATAATAATAATAATAATAATAATAATAATAATAATAATAATAATAATAATAATAATAATAATAATAATAATAATAATAATAATAATAATAATAATAATAATAATAATAATAATAATAATAATAATAATAATAATAATAATAATAATAATAATAATAATAATAATAATAATAATAATAATAATAATAATAATAATAATAATAATAATAATAATAATAATAATAATAATAATAATAATAATAATAATAATAATAATAATAATAATAATAATAATAATAATAATAATAATAATAATAATAATAATAATAATAATAATAATAATAATAATAATAATAATAATAATAATAATAATAATAATAATAATAATAATAATAATAATAATAATAATAATAATAATAATAATAATAATAATAATAATAATAATAATAATAATAATAATAATAATAATAATAATAATAATAATAATAATAATAATAATAATAATAATAATAATAATAATAATAATAATAATAATAATAATAATAATAATAATAATAATAATAATAATAATAATAATAATAATAATAATAATAATAATAATAATAATAATAATAATAATAATAATAATAATAATAATAATAATAATAATAATAATAATAATAATAATAATAATAATAATAATAATAATAATAATAATAATAATAATAATAATAATAATAATAATAATAATAATAATAATAATAATAATAATAATAATAATAATAATAATAATAATAATAATAATAATAATAATAATAATAATAATAATAATAATAATAATAATAATAATAATAATAATAATAATAATAATAATAATAATAATAATAATAATAATAATAATAATAATAATAATAATAATAATAATAATAATAATAATAATAATAATAATAATAATAATAATAATAATAATAATAATAATAATAATAATAATAATAATAATAATAATAATAATAATAATAATAATAATAATAATAATAATAATAATAATAATAATAATAATAATAATAATAATAATAATAATAATAATAATAATAATAATAATAATAATAATAATAATAATAATAATAATAATAATAATAATAATAATAATAATAATAATAATAATAATAATAATAATAATAATAATAATAATAATAATAATAATAATAATAATAATAATAATAATAATAATAATAATAATAATAATAATAATAATAATAATAATAATAATAATAATAATAATAATAATAATAATAATAATAATAATAATAATAATAATAATAATAATAATAATAATAATAATAATAATAATAATAATAATAATAATAATAATAATAATAATAATAATAATAATAATAATAATAATAATAATAATAATAATAATAATAATAATAATAATAATAATAATAATAATAATAATAATAATAATAATAATAATAATAATAATAATAATAATAATAATAATAATAATAATAATAATAATAATAATAATAATAATAATAATAATAATAATAATAATAATAATAATAATAATAATAATAATAATAATAATAATAATAATAATAATAATAATAATAATAATAATAATAATAATAATAATAATAATAATAATAATAATAATAATAATAATAATAATAATAATAATAATAATAATAATAATAATAATAATAATAATAATAATAATAATAATAATAATAATAATAATAATAATAATAATAATAATAATAATAATAATAATAATAATAATAATAATAATAATAATAATAATAATAATAATAATAATAATAATAATAATAATAATAATAATAATAATAATAATAATAATAATAATAATAATAATAATAATAATAATAATAATAATAATAATAATAATAATAATAATAATAATAATAATAATAATAATAATAATAATAATAATAATAATAATAATACGAGAACTCCCCTGCATCTCCAATGGTTCCTTCTAGGGACTTGCTTGCAATTTCCAAGCTACTTGCCTGCCATTGGAGTGCATCTATCCTTCTAGCTTGTGGGCAAGCTAATTAGCCAAAACAAGCTAATTGTTAGAAAGGAGATAAACTTGATTTAAAATGGTAATTACCAAATATATTTAATTTATTTATAATTGATATATTAAATTAATTAAAAGTAATTTTAATCTTATACCGCACAAGAACTCCCCTGCCTATATATAAGAACTCCTCATTTTCCCTCATCCCGCACAAGAACTCCTCATTTCCCCTCATCCCGCACAAGAACTCCCCTGCATCTCCAATGGTTCCTTCTAGGGACTTGCTTGCAATTTCCAAGCTATTTGCCTACCATTGGAGTGCATCTATCCTTCTAGCTTGGGCAAGCAAATTAGCCAAAATAAGCTAATTGCTAGAAGGGAGATAAACTTGATTTAAAATGGTAATTACCAAATATATTTAATTTATTTATAATTGATATATTAAATTAATTAAAAGTGATTTTAATCTCATACCGTTATTATATGTAGATAATGCTTCGAAAATTTAGTTATACAATATTTTCTCAACACCTATTGCATCTCTTTTGCCACTACGTACTCTTATTTTTCATGTGTAAGGTCTTCAAACGGAGGACTATGAAAATCCATACAATAAGTATTACTCATGAAATATTTAAGCAAAAGTTGATATTTTTCAGTATGTATGTGTTGTCAAAATTTGATATTCCTTATTCCTTTACTTAACAAAATACA